GGGGCGGCAATTCAGGCAGTTGTCACCCCGCAGCACTCGATAGGGCGTCACCCACTATCCAAATACTGGGGGGCCCGGAGCGCCCCCGCGACAATCTTCGACCACAACCACCCACCAACGCAGCCAAGCACTTGTGACCGCAGCACAATTTGATTCATTCTCCTGTCCACCTCCGTCTGTGGGAAACCGTTGTGCGCCTCGCCCCGTTGAGGGTCATTTCTCGCGGGGGTCCGCGTCGGTCTGCGACGCGCGCCCGCGAGGTCGCGGCGTGGGGCGGTTGCCAGAGCCAGCGCGCAGCAGTTTGCACCGTTCGCCGCTTTGCAACGACCTGCCTTGCATGCTGCGCGCGCGGCCAATTCGCGACGAGATGTCCCGTTCCTGAGGTTGCGCGCGTTGCGCTCGAGCCCGCGCATTTCGACGCTGGCCAAAACGCGCACTCGCAGCCAATCGCACGTGCGACTGGAGTCGCCCATCTTCATCTCGTTGTAGTCGTGCACGTCTTGGTTCATCCATGGGCGTCTGCGAATGTGACCTCAGAACCATGACTCGATTATCTTCGTGTCCAATCGGTCACGGCATTCCGAAAGTAAATTGCCCTAGGCCACAATGAACCGTTGGAGCTCGTCGCCCCGCATGCGCATAAGTTGTAGACATTCAAAGTCGCGCGCCGTGTCGTCGACGTCAGTGACCTTGTAGCGTTGCGGTATCGCCCAATAAATCTGCCGACCTTTCGACATGCGGCCGGCCTTATGCTCCTGAGCTTTGACGTTCTGCATTACGTAACGGAGCTCAGGATTGAAAACGGTCGATAGTTCAGCGGCAAGCTCACAATCAATGCTCTCGAAACCGCCGCTGTCTTGTAAGTCCTCAGATGTAGTGCCAGGTTGCACGGCGACGCAGAGGAACGCGCGTGCCTTGGCGAGGCGCCCGGAGGCACTGCCAATATTGTCCCTGACCATTTGTTGCCACTCCTGTACCTGAGTAGCGCGTGGCACTTGAGGGCCACGCGCAGTGTCGGATTCCTGGATCTGGGTGGTGCCACCATGAGAATGCTGCGATCGCATATGCAATGGAATTGGTGGCGTCGGCGACGGTGCGCGCACCGGAGATGCGCGACGTGTCTGCATTGAGGCTGCTGCACAGGCAGCTCTTGGTGACGTGCGTCGCGGCTGTTCTGCGCGGGCGTTGCCATCTGCGGTGGCGGGCCCTCGCGGAATCGTCGGTTGTGCGATTCGCGCTCTATTTCTAAGCGGGCGAGGACTTCCTCCGCCCGCGCCTTTGCCAGCGTCTCTTTCCTGGGAGATCTGGGCGGGTCGTGACTGAGCGCGGTCCGACGCCTTCCTTACCTCGGCCATCTCGGCACCGAGGGGGGACAAAATCGCACGCCGAAGTCGGGGCGACCATCTGGCCAATTTTGGGCCCACGCAACATGCATTTCAGCCAGTGCTGCCTGCGTTTCAGACAACTGCTGCTCGACGGTAAATAGTCGGCTCTCAAGCGCTGGCGCACGTCCCTCAGACGCATCAATACAATGAACAATCGCCATCTCGACAATGCACAACTTGCCGTGCAACTCGGACGCGGTTGTGGCGTGCTGGCAGCGGAGGTTGGCAGCGGTCACATCAACGTGATCACGAAGCGCAATGAGGTCATCGCGAAACTGTTGATCCGCTGCCCCATTTGCCGCAGTAGTTGGAACCTGCCGCACTGCCGGGACCTCATCACGTAGCGCCCCGACGGCGGCAGTGCCCATTCCCCTGGCGCTCGCGAATAAATTGCGCCTCCATTCGAAAGAAATAAACGTGAAACGTCTGGGCTGCAATGGAGTCGGAACCTTGGTGTGACTCCACGCGGTCGACTTGATGCTGGACATGGGTGAGCACCGACCGGTCTTCGGCGATCCGAGCGTCGACCCAGGCAAGGGCGTGGTGTATAACAGGGGATATGTCGACCCCTATCCCAGGCTTCGCGGGGCTTCCGAATGGACCAGAAATTTGGGGCCTAACCCTGGGATATACGATGGGGGGGTGTCCATTCTCGATAGGGGTGCGTCCGAATAGCCCCCTTGGGGTGCATCCCAGGGTTTTCCCATTCTTCTGAGCGGCCAGACTTTTCGGGCGAAGCTCGGGGATTGGGGGAGAAACATCGCCCGCGAGTGTAGCTCCTGCCTTAATGTGGGTGTCTGCGCAGCCAGACCCGACAACTGTTCGGCCGTGCAAGTTCCAGCCGGGTCTCGAAGCCCGGCCAAATCACTGGCCGAGGGCGACGCATGCGGCGCAATATCTCGCCGCTGGGAGCTTTGCCGGGAGCGCCTACGAGAGGGGCTGCGGCCATTGCTCCTACTGTGGGAATGGATGTGATACCGTTCTGGGGCCCCCCGCTGAAATGTCCGCCCTGCGCGATCTCCAATGACGCGCGCGTGCTCGGATACAGACACTTTAGTGGGCGAGGTGGCCTTCGCCCAGCGGAGGGGGCGCGCGAAGGCGTTGCCTGGAGACGTTTCACCGGCGCCGCCGCTGCGGGCGTTCCCACCGACACAACGTTCAGCAGCGAAGGTTAAAGAAGAGGAAGGGGCCGAAGTGAATCCAGCCGTGACTCCGAGGCTAACTGCAGGCGCTCCCACCTGCACATGGGAACGACCAAAGCGGCACCACTGCCCGTCCCAGTGGACGCATCAGGTTCCTCGACAGCATGAGAGGACTCCGGCATGCGAGCGCGCGCAGGAGGCGGCTGCAGCGGAAAGTCTGGTAGAAGTTCGCCAAGAGCAGCCGCGAGCGAGGGGGGGCTTCCTTCTCCTGAGAGGGGGAAATGGGTATCACAGATCCTCTCGCCGCCCCCGTAGCGTCGTCGAGGCCGCGCGCCGTCGAGGACGCAGCGCGCGCATAGAGGCACTGCTCACCGAGGGGGGGGCAGTGCAATGCGAAGGGTCAACGACGATGCGAGTCGCAATGTCGAAGAGCGTGAAAGAATAGGCTGGTAACCTGTGTGTATAGGGATACGGTCGAGGGGTCGATCGTATACCTGAGTCCGTAGGTAAAGACGAAGGAGGAAGAGGTGAGCTAATCCTTCTTTTCCTGGGCGCCGCGCAGAAACCAGAACGATATGTATGCCAAGAACTGAGGCAGTACGCTAGCGGGATATGACGATACAAATGGTGGTACGAGCAGACTTCACACAGAGCTGCAACTACTACTACTACTACTACTACTACTACTACTACTACTACTACTACTACTACTACTACTACTACTACTACTACGACTACTACGACTACTACTACTACTACTACTACTACTACTACTACTACAATTACCACTACTCCTACTACTACTACTACTACTACTACTACTACTACTACTACTACTTTTACTCTTACTACTCCTACTACTACTACTACTAATAATAATAATATTAATACTAAAAATACAAATACTACTACTACTACTACTACCACCACTACTACTACTACTACTACTACTACTACTACTACTACGACTACTACTACTACTACTACTACTACTACTACTACTACTACTACTACTACACTTAACACTACTACTACTACTACTACTACTACTACTACTACTACTACTACTACTTCTACGCCTACTCCTACTACAACTACTACCACTACTACTACGACTACTACTACTACTACTACTACTACGACTACTACTATTACTACTACTACGGCTGGGACTACAACTACGACTACTACTACTACTACTACTACTACTACTACTACTACTACTACTACTAAGACGACTTCGACTACGACGACAACGACTACCATCACTAATACGATATTATCTGCTACTACTATTACTGCTCCTCCGACACCAATCACTGCTACTACTACCACTACGACTGCGGCTACGACTACGACTACAACTACGACTACTACGACTACTACTACTACTGCTACTACTACTCATCCTGTTTCTACTTCTACGTCTACTTCTACTACTACTACTACTACTACCACTACTACTACGACAACAACCCAAACAACTACTAAGATCACTGATTGTACGACTGCTAAAGCTACTGCGACTACAGCTACATGTACTACGACTACGACTACGACTACGACTACGACTACTAATATTATTACTACTACTACTACTACTACTACTACTACTACTAGTACTACTAGTACTACTAGTACTACTACTACTACTACTACTACTACTACTACTACTACTACTACTACTACTACTACTACTACTACTACTACTACTACTACATGAACTACTACAAATACTGCTACGACTACCACCACTACGACTACCACTCCTACGAATACTACTACGACTACGACTACGACTACTATCCCTTCTGATGGCAGCTTGGATTTAGATACAGGGGCTTCTGCGACAACTACTACTACGACTACGACTACTACTATTGCTACCACCAACACCACTACGACTATTAATGTTACTACTACTTCAACTATTACTAGTACGACTACGACTAGGACTACGACTACGACTACTACTACTACTACTACTACTACTACTACTGCTACTACTACTGCTACTAATACTACTACTACTACTACCACTACTACTACTACTACTACTACTACTACTACTACTACTACTACTACTACTACGACTACTACTTCTACCAATGCCACTACCGCTACCGTTACCACTACCACTACCACTACCACGCCACTATCACTACCACTACATATACCAAAAACTGCATCTACACTGCTACTGTCACTCCTCTCCCTCTGTCTCTCATCCCGCTGTCCGGATCCGTCGTCATCACATTCCTTCTCCTCCTCAGCATACTCAACCTCCTCCTGCAGCCTGCTCCATCTAGTCACCTTCGATCTGATCCCCATCATGTTTCTCCTGAACATCCTCCCCGTGAACATCACAACCACAACTATCATGACCACCATCACCACCACCATCATGATCCGTCTGTTCCTCCCGCCCAATGGCGCTTCCACCTTCTACGCCAGCTCTTGAGCCACTATCGGCCTGCCCGAGGATCTTCTTGAACAGCTGCGCGGTCCTGTCGTCACCAACAACCCGCGACAGCGCCCGCTTGACGCTCTGGCCGGAGGGGGGGGGGAAGAGAATGGAGGGCGACGAGAACCAGAAAGCGAGGAGCGGAATAAGACAGGAGGGACGAGAAAGAGGACGGAGAAGGAGTAAAGGAGTAGACAAGAGAAGGCTGGATGAGGCAGGGAAGAAAAGGAGGAGGTGGAGAAAGAGGAGAAAGGGAAGGAATGCGAAGGAGGAGTCAGGAGGACCCTGCTCCCTCCCCGTCCTCCTCTCGGTCATAGTTCCTCCCTCCTCCCCCTGCTCCGCGCCCCTCCTGCTCCTCTTGATCTTGTCTTCCCCCTCACACTCCCCCAACTCCTGCCCCCCTCACACCCCCATCAACACGATGTCCCAATTGACGAAATCCAACCCACAGTGAGGTTGCGGCGGGAGTGTATTCATGTCGCTACACGATCCGGCAGAGTTCCCATTCTGCCCCCTCCTCACCCTCCTCCTCACTCCTCTTTTTCCACCTACTCATCATTCCTTCCCACCATTACTTTCGGAATCAGAATCACCATATCCATTGCCGTCACCATCCCCTCCTCCTCCCTCCTCTCCTATCATTCCCTCTCCTCCTCCTGCCCCGCATCCTGAATATTCGTATGTTGTACCATGGTCCTTGTTTTCATCACCATTACCCCAACCGCCACCATCCTCATGACCATACGTCATCAGCATCATGTGCCCATCCCCCTGCTCCACCTCCCACATCTTCTGCTGTTCAGCCTCCGTTCTCCCCGCTACCTGTCCTTCGTCTGTCGCACCCTCCCTACTCCTCCTCTCCTCCTCCTTGTCTTTCTCCTTCTCCTCCTCGTCCTCCTCCTCCGCCTCCTCCTCTTCCGCCTCACCTCCGCTCATCCTCGACCCCAACCCGCTCATGAGGTTCCTCCCTGTCATCATTAGCCATCCCATCGTACTCCTCCTGCTCTTTATTATACTCTTCGTCACCATCATCAGCCTCATCATCTGCCTCCTGTGCATCCCCACCGCACCCACATTCGCCGTCGACAGCATCGCCGCAATCATCATCACCACCAACATCATCACCTAACATCAGCATCCCCATCCTGGTAATCAACCTCACCACATCACCACCGTCATCATCATCATCACCATCATCGTCATCGTCAGCCGCATCATCATCGCAGCCACCACCACAATCATCCCTATCGCCACCACCATCAGCATCATCCTCAACATCATCAACAACACCATCACCACCATCCTCACCCCCGCGTGTGCCATCATTGTCCTCCCTTTGCCGTAATCGTGTGAGAGGTGTGTCGAGATGGATGGCACGGACCCATAGAATGATGAGGATGATGACGACGAGGACGATGATGCTGCTGCTGCTGATGCTGATACTGATAGTGATGATGATGGTGATGGTGATGGTGATGGTGATGATGATGATGATGATGATGATGATAATGATGATGATGATGAGGAGGAGGAGGAGGAGGACGAGGGTGAAGGATGGAAGCAGGAGGAGGAAGAGGAGGAGGAGGAGGGGGGAGGAAGGGGAGGACGAGAAGAGGAGGTGGGACGCGGGGCGCTGTCTCTTCAAAACGAGGACCCAACACCACAGGATGGTTTTGAAAAAAGAATACTGAAATTAGCCAGACGAGTGACCCAACCATATGCAACTGCGAGCAATGCAAGGTGCGATCTCCTCATGGGAAGCGCGCCGCGAAAAGGATGGATGGAGCGCGGGGCAGCGCGCATGGAGGCCGTGAAACCTGTGAGGGGCGTGCCGAAGTGGGAGTGGAACCGCATGCGAACGCAGCCACTGGCGCCTTCGGTGGAGCTCCCGATGGGGCCACGAAATGTGTGAAGGGTGTGCCGAAATGGTAGGTGGAACCGCATGCGAACGCAGCCACTGGCGCCTTCGGTGGAGCTCCCGATGGGGCCACGAAACGGGAGAAGGGTGGGCCGAAATGGGGGTGGAACCTCATGCGAACGCAGCCACAGAGGCTTCCTGCGGAGCTCCCTACAGGGCCACGAAACGTGTGAGGGGGGTTGCCGAAATGGGGGTGGAACCGCATGAGAACGCAGCCACTGGGGCCTTCGGTGGAGCCACCATATGGGGCCCCGAAACGTGTGAGGGGTGTGCCGAAATGGGGGGTGGAACCGCATGCAAACGCAGCCACAGGAGCCTTTGGTGGAGCTCCCTATGGGGCCACGAAACGCGTGATCTGAGGAGTGGGCCGAAATGGGTGTGTAGCAGCATGCGAACGCAGCCACTAGGGCCGTCGGTGGAGCTCAGTATGGGGCCACGAACCTTGTGAGGGGTGTGCCGAAATGGGAGGTGGAACCGCATGCACACGCAGCCACCGGGGCCTTCGGTGGCGCCCCCTATGGGACCACGACGCGTGTGATGGGTGTGCTGACATGTGGCATGGGGGTGGAACCGCCTGCGGACGCAGTCACAGAGGCCTTCGGAGGAGCTCCCTATGGGTCCACGAAGCCTGTGAGACGTGTTCCGAAATGGGAGGAACCGCGTGCGAACGCAGCCACTGGGACCTTCGGTGGAGATCCCAATTGGGCCACGAACCGTGTAAGTGGTGTGCCGAAATGGGGGTGGAACCGCATGCAAACGCAGCCAACGGGGCTTTCGGTGGAACTCCCCATGGGGGCACGAAACGTGCGAGGGGTGTGCCGAAGTGGGGGCGGAACCCGCAGCCACAGGAGGCCCTATAGGGCCACGAAACGTGTGAGATGCGTGCTGAAATTGGGGTGGAACCGCATGCGAACGCAGCCACAGAGGCTTTCGGCGGAGCTCCCTATGGGGACACGAAACGTGTGAGGGGTGTGCCGAAATGGGGTGGAACCGCATGCACGAAACGTGTGAAGGGGTGTGCCGAAATGGGGTGGAACCGCACGCGAACGCAGCCACAGAGGCTTTCGGCGGAGCTCCCTATGGGGACACGAAACGTGTGAGGGGTGTGCCGAAATAGGTTGGAGCCGCATGCACGAAACGTGTGGGAGGGGTGTGCCGAAATGGGGTGGAACCGCATGCGAACGCAGCCGCCGAGGCTTTCGGCGGAGCTCCCTATGGGGACACGAAACGTGTGAAGGGGTGTGCCGAAATGGGGATGCAACCGCACGCGGGAGCACCAACCGGGACCTTCGCCTTCGGTGGAGCTCCCCACGGGGCCGCGAAGCGCGCCTAAACACAGACGCGCGGAGGGCAGAGGCAAGGAAGGGGAGGAAGGAGAAAGAGGAGGAAAGAGGGGGGAGAACGCGGGGCGCTGTCTCTTCACAACAAGGACCCAATACCACAGGATGGTCGGGAAAAACACGATGGGAAGTGATGGGGGGGCGGCAGGATATCATTTTTGGCTCGACCGCGCCTAACTTCCATCTTACCCTGCCCTCTCCCCCTCCTTCTCGAAGACCTGCGATCGGCCGCGGGGAAGGGGTCGGGCCTGCGCCTTCAGGCCGCGGCGGACAAGCTCCCTGGCGTTCGCACGCTGGGAAGGAAAAGGAAGAGGACGATGAGGAGGATGGGCAGCAGCAGGCGAAGCATGCAAGAGGGAGGAAGAGGAGGAGGAGGAGGACGAAAAGGCGGGGGGGCAACGGCGACCACGACCACGACGACGACGACGACCACGACGACGACGAAGACGACGACGAAGACGACGGCGGCGACGGCGGCGGAAGCGACGAGGACGGCGGCGACAACGACGACGACGACGACCACGACGAGACGAGGGCGACGACGACGACGGCCGCGACGGCCACTTCAACGACCACGAAGGCGAAGTTGGCGGCGACAGCGTCGATGGCATCGGCGACGATGGCGACGACAACGACGAGGAAAACGAGGGCGACGACAGCAGCGACACTTCGCGGCGAGCGCATCCTCTGTGGAATGCACAACGGTAGCTGTATGAAATACAAAGAGAAACAACATGTGGAAGCAGAAGGGCGCGTGCTAAGAGGGCGCACGTTCTCTTTCCTTTCACAGGGGCTCGCGCGCGCCCGAAGCCGGCGCGCCACGCAGCGGGGCGGGGAGGTGAGAGAGAGGCGCAGGAGGTGGGGAGGCTGAAATATACATGACAACCACAGCTGTTACCTTTTTGATATTCGGCCAGACATCCATCCGAAACCGCAGCTCCCTTCAAACTTCTTATACGGCACCGTAAGCTGCGAACCTGATACACCCGTCTCGAAGGCCGTCCTCGGGTCATCCGTGACGCGCGGCCGCTCCGCCAGCCTAGATGGCGCTCATCTCGCCATGGCCCTATCCAGACTCGCCCGCGGACTCGCCCATCTCATGCATGAAGCTCGGCGGCTCGGAGTTGGGCGGCCAGTGCTGGGTGCCTGTGCTTTCAAGGTAGTTGCAACACTGAGCTTCGTAGTCCACCGCGGATTCCACCGGAAGCGCTGCGCTGCAAGCGTGGGCCAAGGGGAACCGATGACAGGTCTAGGTCGTTCCCCCCGATCGCGCCGCCCGAATGCGCATGCACACTGTGGAAAGCATAATAAAAAGCATATGGGTAGGCTTTCGCCGTGAGGTACATTCTGACCGTCCGAATCCATAGTATGCACCATCCGAAAACAGGATCATGGTTCTCGACCTCGTCGTAGACCCCATGAGCGTCGCGGCGTGGACCCAGAGCTTCACGGAGCGGGCGCTCCTTGGCACCATTGCGCATGGACGCGCGGCTTGGGATAGCGCGCGACGCCCCCGATCATCCTGCATCTCAATAATGCAAGAGCAGAGGTTCATCTCGGGACCGACGTCGGAGGACACGTAAATCATGCAATGGGCGCAGCAGGCACTGCGAAGCTCGCCCTCGCAGTAGACTCCGAACGCACTCTCGGTGCCAGAAGGTCCTGGCATCAGAATATGCATACCACGATTGCTCCACAGCGAAGCCAGAGCTGCCACGTTGGCGCCGCGGTAAGCCGCCACGAAGCCGAGCATCTTGCCAGCGAGGATTTGATCGCGCATCATCTCCCAGACGCCAATAATTTCCGAACAGATGGACCGCCACTGTCCTGTAGGATATGGGATCGGACCGCGTCCAAAGGGCCCATCAAACTTGTCTGACAAGGGTTCCAAAGCATACCTTGGCCCGCCCTCGCGACTCGCATCCCAGATCGAATCGCCGATAAAACGGCGCCCGAAGCAGCCGCAGCGACGCAAGGCATTGACCGCGCACTCCTTCCCGACGGGAACTTTGACTTAAGTCTCCCACACATTGCTCATCATCTTATCTCAGAACTCCTCGATTCGCTCTGGGATGGAGAGGTACTTCTCGAGGTCCGCGAAGGTTGCCAGCGCCACCTCGGCCCCCTCATCTCCGCGGGGGCCGGTGCCCGCGCACCTCTCAAGCACGTCAGCCGCCGCTGAGACGTCGGGGGCGCTGGCGAAGAGGCGCTTCGCCTCCTCGCGCCTGCCCTGGCTGTCCAGCTCGGAGAGCCGATCCAAAAAGTCATTCGACCAGCTCGCCTTCCGTGACTAGTTCCTTCCAGCCCTCGAAGATCACCGAGCAAACTCGCCCCCGTGCGATCGCGCCAGAGATTCGCCCCGATCTTTGGCAAGTCCGCGAGCCCCCCCTAATCAACGAAGTTCAGCGCTTGAGTCCGCGCTGTTGGGTTTCAGAGAGTGTCGAATTTATATGCTGGACAAGGGTCTTGTCGGACCTGCCTTGGCGCAGCGGCGCTTCAGGTCGGACGCGCGCGGGTCGCCGTCGAGCCCAGGCCGACCTCGGCCACGGGCGCCGGGCGCCAACCCCCAGGCCGCCGACGCGCAACGCATCTGCAAAAAGGAAATCGCGCGATAGATCGTCGACGTAGCGGCGCAAGCATGCCCAGACGCAACCAGCATCTCCCAAACCATGAAATGGCCCAACTTGGCAACTACACATTCATGGTGAGGGGGAAGGCTGTCTCTCCACTGCTGCAACCCACAACACTGCTGCTCTTTTTCGTTCCTCCAGCGCCGCAGCGCTGCCTGCTGCTCCTTCCGCCAGGCATTCTGGCGCGTCCTCGGACGTTTCCTGACCAGCAAGCAAACCCGCCGCCAAGCGATGAGCCATCCAAAAACAGCTCTTCACTCTTCTCCGCGGATCACCAGTCGATGGCAGACGGCTCTCACCAGTGCTTGCCCGAGCCCGTGGCCCCCTTCTTGGCTGGGGCAAGAGGTCGGCGGGCGCGGGCCCCTTTTCTGCTTGCGCGCCCCCTTGCAGGCGCCTTTGCCGCTGGGCGCTGCCCCCAAGGGGTGTTGCTGCTGGCGCGCAACCGCGGCGTGCTCTGCCGCCCGGTATACCTGGTTCTCATACACAGCCACGAGGATTGCTTCGGGGACGCAGCTCATTCCTTCCATAAGGCTCGTTCCGAACAGTCGTCCCGAAGGGACTTGTCTCACCCTGATGCGACCCGCCCCGGCTCCTGCACTGCGACCCTGATCGCGTTTAGGCCGTCCGCGAGCAGCGCTTGCACACCGACGGCCTCGGCGACGGGATGCGTTGGACCGCGAGCTGGCTGAGCGCCTTTGGCCACCACAGGGCGGTCCATCGGGCACGTTTCTGAATGTGTCTCACCCATTCACTGGGGGGCCCATTTTGCTGGAAAGTCGCTCACCACAAAAGGGCGTTTCCGTCGAACTGTCTTCCTCACCTCGGCTGCTAAGGCGCGCAGAGCAGCGCTTTGGGGCATGCGTTCGTGGCTCACTCGCGGCATCTCGCACGAATTGAAACACGCCGCGGCGTCAAAGTCTTCGTCGTCCACACTGTTGCTGTCGGGCGACTTAACACGCGTCTTGTCCCCTCGGTTATCCTTGCAAATTGTATTCTTCGCGCGCTCCGCAACGGAGAACCCCCGCGCCGGTCTCCTGGGCCGCCAACCAGGAGGCTGTCAATTGGGCGCGCGAGCAGAATGCAAGCTCGGCTGTCTTTTCCGTCGCCGGGAAGATGTGTTCCAAGACGGACTGCGGCGCATCTTCCAAGTGCCAGTCGGACTTCACCGCAGAGCTGGCCAGCGCCCTGGCCACCTGCTGCTGCAGATCCTGGGTCGCCATGGCCCGGGACACGTTATGTGCCGTTGTTGTTGAACTCCACATGTGCATGTCCCCCAAGGAACGCGGAGGAGTCACACAAACAACAACAAATTTCAATGGATTTGGTAGAGGGCGGGAAACAGGCACGAACCCCCACAATGGTTATGATGGGGAGTCCCTTGTTTGCTGTGGTTAAACACGCGTGAAATGCCCTGGCAGAAGCCTCCGCGCCTGGGGGGCAGTGGCGTGCCAGCCCCTGCTGCAGAGTCCTCGCGGACCCTTCTGGCGAGACGCCCGCCGCTGCTACAGCCGCTGCTGCGCGCCTCGGGGCGCTCTCGCCACGAGCGGACCGGCCCCGTGCCGGAGACGTGCGCGTGCGGCCATGGGACCGACTGCGGGAGCCGCGGGAACCACTCGAAGAGTCTAACCGCCTCCGCCGCCTGGAGCGCCGGCCTGGCCCATTCTGGGAAGGACCTGCCTTGAGCGCTCGTGTGCAGCACTGCGCCACGAGGTGGCCACACAATCAAACATGATGCTACAAATGAGGTCATGGCATGAACAAGTATTCAAACAACTGATCGTGCAAGCAACAAATATGCAATCAAACGAGCGTGCAAACAACAATGCAAACGCGAAATGGACAAGTGAATACATGCAAACGCGAAGTGGAAAAAACACAATACCTGGGAGGATTAGGAGAAGGATCGAATGAAACATATGACAATCCCCTGCCCGCTTTTCCCCCCATTCCAATCAAGACTGAATGCTGCGAATAAACTAAAATTGGTTCGGGCACAGCAACATGATATTTGGAGTAGGAAGGCGCTTGAAGTATATTGGGATCTGGAGATCCAAAAATACATTTTTTCAACGACCGACGGAAATCTTCAACGGTGTACCCGAGTCCTGGGCCGACGCCATCCTGGGGCGCTCATCGACACCATCGGTGGCCAAAGTCCCGTAACAGCGTAGGCAGGTGAGAACACATGTATCTCCAACGGTGTATCCGCTCCGGGGCAGTGGCCCGATTCGCTCATTGACCCTACGCATCTGTGGCCCAAGCCCCCAAACAACACAGCATTCTCACTCGACGGGCGGAGAGGGCATGCGTGCACTTGCGCCCGCACGTTGGCAATGCAACATGAAGCGCCAGATGCTTCGCATATGACGAACCTCTCCCTCTCCCTCTCTCTCTCTCTCTCTTTCTGTCTCTCTGTATGTGTTTCCCTGTCTCTCTCGCTCTCTCTCTCTCTCTCACTCTCTCTCTCTCTCTCTCTCGTTACGGTGTACATGTCAAGGGACAAGGTATACAAACACATTATCCTGCCAAAAGACCCAACCATATGCAGTTGTGGGTACCGAAATTGTGAATATATTCTTCGGCGAAGCTCCCTATAGGGCCACGAAAAGCTGCACTGGGTGGGGGGGAACGCATGCGGGCGGTAGCACTGGGGCCGTCGGTGGAGCTTCGTATGGTGCCAAAAAACGCTGTGGTGGTGGCGGGCGCATGCGGGCAGTGCCACTGGGACCTTCGGTGGAGCCCCCATGGGGCCACGAACCGCTGTACTGGGTGGGCGAAACGCAGGGAGCAAGGGCTGTGCTGGGTGGTGGCGGACGCACGCGGGCGGTGCCACTGGGATCTTCGGTGGAGCCCCCTTTATGAGCCACGAAACCTTGTACTGGGTGGGTGAAACGCAGGGAACAGGGATGTGCTGGGTGGTGGCGGACGCATGCGGGCGGTGCCACTGGGACCTTCGGTGGAGCCCCCTTTATGGGGCGACGCAACCCTGTACTGGGTAGGTGAAACGCAGGGAGCGAGGGCACTGCTGGGTGGTGGCGGACGCATGCGGGCGGTGCCACTAGGACCTTCGGTGGAGCGCCCTATGGGCCACGAAACGCTGTACTGGATGGGTGAAACGCAGGGGGCAAGGGCTGTGCTGGGTGGTGGCGGACGCACGCGGGCGGTGCCACTGGGATCTTCGGTGGAGCCCCCTATGGGGCCACGAAACGCTGTACTGGGTGGGTGAAACGCAGGGGGCAAGGGCTGTGCTGGGTGGTGGCGGACGCATGCGGGCGGTGCCACTGGGACCTTCCGTGGAGCTCCCTATGGGGCCCCGAAAGATGTACTGGGTGGGTGAAGCGCAGGGAGCACAGGCTGTGCTGGGTGGTGGCGGACGCACGCGGGCGGTCCCACGGGGGGTTTCGGTGGAGCCCCCAAATGGGGCCCCGAAGCGCTGTACTGGGTTGGCGAAGCGCAGGGAGCAAGGGCTGTGCTGGGTGGTGGCGGACGCATGCGGGCGGTGCCAGTGGGACCTTCGGTGGAGCCCCCACTGGGCCACGAAGCCCTGTACTGGGTAGGTGAAACGCAGGGAGCAAGGGATGTGCTGGGTGGTGGCGGACGCATGCGGGCGGTGCCACTGGGACCTTCGGTGGAGCGCCCTATGGGCCGCGAAACGCTGTAGCGGGTGGGTGAAACGCAGGGAGCAAGGGCTGTGCTGGGTGGTGGCGGGCGCATGCGGGCGGTGCCACTGGGTCCTTCGGTGGAGCCCCGTATGGGGCCACGAAGCGCTGTGCTTGGTGGGTGGAACGCAAGGAGCAAGGGCTGTGCTGGGTGGTGGCGGACGCATGCGGGCGGTGCCACTAGGACCTTCGGTGGAGCTACCTATGGAGCCACGAAGCCCTGTACTGGGTAGGTGAAACGCAAGGAGCAAGGGCAGTGCTGGGTGGTGGCGGACGCATGTGGGCGGTGCCACTGGGACCTTCCGTGGAGCCCCCTTTATGGGGCCCCGAAACCCTGTACTGGGTGGGTGAAACGCAGGGAGCAAATGCTGTGCTGGGTGGTGGCGGACGCACGCGGGCGGTCCCACTGGGGGGTTCGGTGGAGCTCCCTATGGGACCACGAAACGCTGTGCTGGGTGGATGCAACGCATGGAAGGAGGAGGGAAGGGAGGAGGGGGAGGAGGGGGAAGAAGAGGAGAGGAGGAACGCGGGGACCGTCTCTTCAAAACGAGAACCCAACACCACAGGATGGTTGGGAAAAACATCAAACTTACAAACACTACGACGGAGGTCTGGGCCTCCGCAGCGCAGCAATAAGGTCTGCGCGGCGGCAAGGCGCGCGCGCGGGGAGGGGCGGCGGCGCCCCAAGGCGCTCTCGGCGCGCGCCGGCTGAGGCGGGTTCGCTTTGCCGCAGGCGGAGATCAGAGAGGCGAAGAAGTACCTGTGGCGCAGGGCGCGGGGAAGCAGCGCTCGCCAGCAGCGTTGCAGATGAACAAGGTCCATTCGGAAGCATCTTCTGGTTTCGTCAAAACGATCAAGGGCGATTAGGCTCGATGAAGGTGCCATTTCACCGGATGAGGCTGGATTAAGCCCGGGATTAAGCTGGACTAGGCCAGATTAAGCCAAAATAAACGGGATTAAAACGAATGGGGCTGTATTAGCCCTAATTGAACCAATTCCGGCCGTCAAAATACCAGCGTCGATACAGAATTTAACCTCCCAGGAGTTGCATCCTAGGGTCCAGTGCCCAGAACGAGGGAGGGGAGAACGGGAGGTCCACGAAGAAGAGGAAGGATGGGAAACACATGGGGGGTCGCCCGCCTGGGGATCCAGAGATGTACGTATCGTTTGACTCTCTGGCTGGGATCAGTCCCAAGCTAGGGCTGGTAAGGGAGGAGGCGGACGAGGACGAGCGTCCGCGATTACCGCTGCGTGTCCCAGTCCCCTCCCTCCTCCTGATCCTGCTCCTGCTCCCGCTCCTGCTCGTCCTCCTCCTCCTCCTACTACTACTCCTCCTCCTACTCATCATTACCATCACCAACATCACCATCACCACCACCACCATCAGAATCATCGTCATCATCATCATCATCATCATCATCATCATCATCAGCATCAGCATCATCATCATCATCATCATCATCATCATCATCATCATCATCATCAGCAGCATCCTCATCATCGTCATTGTCAACATCATCATCAGCATCATCATCGTCATCAGCATCATCGTCATCAGCAGCAGTAGCAGCATCAGCATCATGATAACCATCATCATCACCATCATCATCTCAACAGCAGCAGCAGCGCAACTACCATCATCACCACCACAGTCAGCGACAACAACAACGACGTCATCATCATGTTCAGCATCATCATCACCACCATGCATCATGCATCATGACCATCATCATCAGCAGCATCAGCATCAGCGATACCGCCACCACCATCATCACCACAATCCTCGTCATCGTCGTCGTCATCGTCAACGTCAATAATCCTCATCCTCCTGCTCGCCTCCTCGTCATCCTCCTCCTCCCTTCCTCCTCTGCTCCCGCCATCCTCCTCCACCGCTTTCCTCATGAATAACTCCACCCTGTCGCAACCGAAGACGTGTCAGTAGGGCGTGCCAGGCGTTTTGCCTGAGACCCCCTCAACATGTATGGCCCAGAAGCTTGGTATTTGCAACGACTTCCAGGATAGAGGGCGGTTATAGTTCAAAATGCAACTCTCGCCTTAACGCCCTTGACATTCGCCTTCATAAATCTCCACAGCTTCAGGGATTCGGATGGTTGAAATCCCAGGGACACGTGCTCTGGCGCGATTTGAGGATTGTCAGGACGCAACAGCGACATTGATTCGCGGTGCTGGCATTCCAGTTATGGTGTTCTGGCACATTGTAGGACTGTCAGGACGCAAGAGTCAAATTCATCCGCTCCGTTGAACTCCCTGGAATGGGGTTGTGGCACGGTTGGGGGTTCCCAGACGGTCGCAACACATGCCTAACGATTGCAACCACGTCAAGGATGAAGGACAGGTCGTTCTCAGAATGGGGGTCTCGCTTCAGCGCCGCGTACATTCGCCTGAAAAGTTTGCACCAGTTTCAAAGATGGAAGAATATTGATTTTCAAAATGTGGCGCCCACATTAGCGCCGCGCGCATTCGCCATCAAAAATTGCAGCCGACTCAAGGGCACGAATCGTAAATGGCAGGAATGATGTGCTGGCACGGTTCAGGATTCTCATGTCGCAATAGAGACGTCGACTCGTAGCGCTGGCATCCCAGGAATGATCTGGCACGATTTAGACATGCAAGGGCGCAACAGTCAAGTCGACCCGCTGCGTTGAAGTCCCATGAAGTGTGGTTTGGCACGGTTGAGGACTCGCAGACGGTTGTCTTCCAAAGAGTCAGTTCCCGCAATGCAAATACGTGTGTAGAGACTTCTGGAGGAGGCGCTTGCAAGGAGGTTGTGCTGCAACATCGCTGATACGCCTGAGGCGTACACTGCTCCTCCTCTTCCTCCTCCCCGTCCTCCTACTCCTCCTCCTTTTCCTCCTCATCCCTCCTCCTCCTCCTCCTCCATACCCTCCCTCAGCCTACTCATTCTCATCCACGTCCTCCTCCTCGTCCCTCCTGCTCCTCCTTCCCCCGCTTCCTCCTCCTCCGCACCGCTGTTCCTTCTCACTCCCCTCCCTCATCCTCGTTCCTGCAATGCCCCCTCCCCGTTCCAGCTCATTCCCCTCATCAACTCCTCCTCCTCCTCCCCCTCTGCCCCTGTGAATCATTCGCTTCGTCGATTATGTGTCCTCCTCCTCCTCATCCTCCTTCTCTTTTCCTTCCTCCTCCTCCTCCTCCGATTCTCCTCCGTGTCCTCCGTCTTCTCGTCATCCTCATACTTTTCTTGAGCCTCCTCCTCGCCCTCCTCCCCCCCCCCGATTTTACTCCCAGAGAGCCCGAGTCGAGACGACAGGGCGAGACGGGGAAGGAACTGCAAGAGGGGGAGCAGGGAGAGGAGAGCGGCGGGGAGGCAAACGAGCCAGACAGAGAGAGGCTACGATTACACATCTTTAAACATGTAAGCGCATGTAGGCGTGTGCATCCTATTCGCATCTGTAAACATATATGTGTATATATGTGCAAGTATACGAAGTATCGAGGATGTGTGCGTATACACATACATTCACTCGCGAGTATAGACAATCAAAACATGTGCATAGATGGATAGATCGAGAAAAAGGAGATGAATAGAGAGAGAGAGAGAGAAAGAAAGAGAACACTCAAATTATCCGGGCGAAAGACCCAACCATATGCCATTGTGGGTACCGCATGCCTCTTGGGCCGTCTTGGATGCAATGGACGCCCAAAAGACAAACACGCCAAAAATATCAGTTCTCCCATCGGAAATCTGCGATGTTTGCTTATTGGGCCACTCTCGGTGTGCCTCTCGGGGCGTCTTCGGAGCCTCTTTGCTGTTTTTTCGGGTCCCATGGGGGCCTCTTGGGGCTTCTGGGCCCCTTCTTGGAGCCTCTTGGGGTCTCCGCGGGGGTCTCTTGGGCCAAAAGGCCAGAATTTCCGGTTCCTCGTCCCCGTCTTGGGCGCCGCCTTGGGGCGTTCTTGGGCAAAATTGGGCGCCTCGTGGGCCGGTTTGGCCCCCTCGTGGGCCGTCTTGGGGCCCTCTTTGGGGCATCCTCGACCTGGGTGCTTCTTGGGCCGTCTTGGATGCAGTGGACGCCCAAAAGGCAAACACGCCAAAAATATGAATTTTCCCATCGGAAATCTGCGATGTTTGCTTATTGGGCTCTCTCGGTGTGCCTCTTGGGGCGTCTTCGGGGCCTTCGGGGGCCTTCTTGGCGTCATGGGAGTCGTCTTGACAAGCGTCTTGAGCCATCGCTGTGGCCTCCTGGGCTCCCTGCAGCCTCGTGGGGCCTTGTTGGCCCCGGGACGCCGAAACCCCGTAAAAACAAAGGGAAAACGACGCCCGGTCCCCCCCTTGCGCTGTCGTGGTCGCGGTCCCGGGCCCCCGGGCCTCGTCCCCTGGGATATATATATATATATATATATATATATATATATATATGTATATATATAAAAATACATATATATATATGTATATATATATATGTATATATATAGATAGCTCGCAAATCCTTCACTCCCGCCAGGCTTCTTTTTGTGTGAGTGGCGACCAGGCCGGTTATATGTAGATGCGAATGTTCCAACAAGTCGGCAGTATGCCTGGCGAGTCGGTGGAGACCTCTGGCCCTCGCGGCGCCAGACAGCCCAAAAGCAACCCCAGAAGGTGCCAAGGCAGCTTCCAAACCACCCGAGAGCTCCCCAGCATGGCTAAAACGGGCCCACGACCCAAGATGCTCTCAAGAGGGCCCAGGGACGGCCCAAGCCCTTCCAAACTGCCCCCTGGAGGATTTCGGACTACTAGCGCTGTCGAGCGTCAGGCCCCCAGGATGGTCCATCAGGCCGCCAAGCTCGCACCGAGGCGGCCCAGAAGGACCCCAATATGCCCCCAAGACAGCCCAATGAGACCCCAAGAGGCCACCAAGAAACGCCAAGTCATCCCAAGACACCCCAAGAAGCCCCCGAGACAGCCCACGGAACCCCCAAAAGGATCCCAAGATACCCGAATACAATTCCAAAAGGGCCCCGAGCCTGCGACGGTCCGCGCGGATTTCTTGGATCGGCGCAGAAGCCTCTGGCGGCGCCTGCGGCGCCGCCGCTGGCGTGCTCCGACGGCGACGGCGTCGGCTGCCTGCGGCGTCGATGGCGGCGGCGGCGACCGTGTCGGCGGCGCGCGGCGGGCGCCCTTTTTCTCCAAAGCACGCGCGCCCTGCGGCTACCCGCTCTGCAGCACCACCGCCTCCTCCTCCTCGCTGTCATCGTCCTCTAAGCGTAGTGTCACCGATCCCTATCCCCTCTGGCGCGGCCTGGGCCCAATGGCCGATTTACCCCCCTGGATGGAGATATAGGCTGTTCCCTTCGGGTTTCGAGGGGCAGATCCACAGATGGGGTGGCGGGGATCGGGATTCGGACGATGATGGGAAAAATTGTTAAACGATATTGATCCCCCTCGCTGTCGTCGTCTTCGTCACCGTCTCGGGAATCTAGTGACCCGGGTCAATGCAAACCCGGGTCATTCAAGCTTTGCAGAATCCTGCAGGATCCTGCAAGATCCTGCAGGATCCTGCAAAGTAGCCCAAGTGTGTGCACCCTGGCTCTGCGGGATCCTGCGAAAATCTGGCGCTCTGGCTGACCCCCGCTTGCATTGACCCCCGTCCCTTGAGCCCCGACCGTCCTCGCCATCGCTGCCCCCGGCGCCCCCGCCGAACGGCATGGCTTCGTCGCGCTGCCCCACACGGAGCCGCAGGGCACCCGGGGAGAAGCCCAGGGCGGCGCCTGGCGGCGCGGGCCGCGGGCCTGAAGAAGAAACGCCCCCTTGAACTCGGGCGTTGCGCAATGGGGGGCTCCTCCTCCCCCTCCTCCTCCTCCTCCTCCTCCTCCTCCTCCTCCTCCTCCTCCTCCTCCTCCTCCTCCCCAGCCCCTATTAAGCAACGCCCGACGAACGTGAACTCGGGCGTTGCGAAATGGGTGGGCGATACATGGCAGGGCGAAGAAACATGCACAATCCCTGCCCCTGTTGAGCCCCAGAGGGGGCCTTCTATGGTCCCTTTAGAATGCAAAAGGCGCATCTTCCTCCCTCCCCCCGAATTATCGCCCCCCCATTACGCAACGCCTGATACTTAGACGTAACCTTCCGGAAGTCTGGGCGGATTCTTTGGATCGGCGCTGGGCCCGCCTCCTATGCGCGCGGAGCGCGCCAGGGGCGGTGGAGGAGGCGCCACCAGCGGGGTCTGGCGCCGAGCCAAGAGATCTCCGCGCGCAGCTCCGAAAGCCAACATCTAGAGGCCAACCGCATGAGGCCCGAGCAGATGGGGTCGGAAGATCGCACCGCATCACCGATGCATCGCCGGTTTATCGCCGATGCATCGAACGTTCACCAGCGCCACCGGCGCTGCATCGGCGACGCCATCGTGGAGAAAGACAGGCTCCACGTCGAGTTACATCCCCGATGCATCGGCGAAGCGGGGCGATCCACCGACCACATCTACTCGACCCCATTTGGGAGGCCATTAATCTTGAAGCAAGAGGAGAAGGAGAAGGAGGAGGAGGAGGAGGAGCAGGAGAGAGGGAGAGAGAGGAGGAGAGAGCAGGTGGAGGAGGAGCGGGCGGAGAAGATGGAGGACAAGGAGAAGGGAGGAGGAGGAGGAAGAGGAGGAGGAGGAGGTGTTTCTTCCCCGAGGGCCGCCGTCGGGGAGGTGCCAGGAGACGCCCCAGGCGCTCTCGCGGCGGCGGGCACCCGCGGCCGCGAGCGCGGGCCGCAGGTCTGCCAGGGTCCACGCCAGCGAGCAGTGCAGCCTGAAGGGGCTCACGAACCAACACAAATCCCACGATTCCCAGGACCTTCCCCTTCCTTCCCCTCCCCCTCCCCCTCCCCCTCCTCCCCCTCCCCTTCCTCTTGCTCCTCCCTCTACCTCCTCCCCCCCTCCTCCTCCTCCTTCTCCTCCTCCGCCTCCCCCTCCTCCTCCTCCGCCTCCTCCTCCTCCTCCGTCTCCTCCTTCTCCCTCCACCGCCCGCCCCATGCCCCGAGCTTGTCACAGGGTCATCAACTCGTCGTTTTCGTTGTCGTCGTGGTCGTCGTCGTGGTCGCAATCGTCCTTCCGGGTCGGCGGCACCGGCCGTAAGGCCTTCACAATAGATAAACACAAATCCTAAGATTCCCCGCGTATGTTCCCTATGTTTTCTTGGCTCCGTCGTCCCCTCCACTTCCCATATGTTCTCATACTTTTCTGGGAGTCGACGTCTGTGTTTGCCAGTGTTGATGTTTCTCTCCTGACAACCGCATGCCGCCGGCGGCAGGCAGCTCGCCCTCGGCCAGGTCGAGCGAACTCACCGCCGCGAGGATCTTGGACGACAGCCCGCGGAGCCACTCCTGGAGGCACACAGAGATGCACAACCACAGACTTTCGGAGGTCCGCCCGGACTTCTCGGACTGGCGCTGGCCCCCTCTCAAGACGAAGCCAGGACAAGAACAAGGTCGGGTTCGGATAAATCGAGGATCTCTGAGATCTGGCGGCTCTGGAAGATGTCTCGGGCGCCGCGGCTTTCTCAGAGCGCTCCGGGACGCTCTGAGAGCGTCCGGGAACGCTCTGGAACGGATGTATCCTCGTCCCAGCCCCGACCGACCCTCCCTGGCGAGCGGAGCGCGACAGGGGCGGCGCCTGAGGCGCCGCCAAGGGGGTCCAGCGCCAACCCAGGAAAATGGCGAGGACCTCCGAAACTGTCTGTTTGTGCAGTTTTTTGCTCTTCGAAGCGCCAGGGACGCGTCTGCGACGGGCACGGCGGCGAAATACACGTCGCCCTCCCTGGACGCGAAGACGTCGATGGCGTCGTCGAAGAATCTGCCACCGTGCCCGCGGCACGCGCGTGGGGTGTGGGGGCCATCCGCTCACGCGGTGTTTCTGGGGCGCTCCCGACGGCTCCCGCCGGGCTGCCGCGGGCTCATCGCGCCTCTTCTCTTTGAGCAGGGACCGACCGCCCCCGGCATTCCCATTGGCCTCCCACGAAGTGTTCGTAGGACCAAAGAGTGCTCCAATAACAAAACAATGTTCTTGGGACATGGAGCCGATGTATTAAAACAAGTCTGTCTCAGCTGCAAGTGTTGGGAGAACAGTTCGTGCAGACCAGAAAGGATCATGGGAACAAAGCTTCTGTGGGCAAGTCGGCATGTCAGAACGCTTCGAGACTGATTGATCTCCAGAACTCCAGAAAGAGTGGTTGGCAACTCGGGCCTCCACAGTGCACTCAGATGGCCCTCTGAGCAGACCTCGGGCCCTTCTCGGCCGCCAAGGCAGCCCTGGGCTGGTCCGAGAAGCCCGAATCCTACACCGAAGACTTTTCAGTGACTGTATCAGCCCTCGGCTTGCTGGCCTCAGCCTCGACCCGAGACGCACCAAAAGGCCCCCGATAGACCCACGACGAACGGTCCTCTGAGGGGCCAAAAGGGGGCTCGCGAGCGGACCAACAAACCTGGCTGGGAGTCCTCCGTTTATCCCTAAAGACAGCCCCCAAACCCAGGATGCCCCACAGAGAGCACAAGACTTTAGCAGTGCAATGTCATATGCTTCCTGCTTGGCTCGTGCTCCATACAATCAACCCGCTGAATAAGGACGCACGGTAAGGATGCGAGGGCCTGGGAGCGACATGACGACTCTGTGCGAGCGGGGCGTGGCAATCGATAGCGGCCCAAGGATGGGTCGAAGGGGAGGGATGCGAGGGTACCCTTGAAACGTCGCTCATCCTCACTATGCGGGTTGACTGCACCGCTGCCTCACCACGTCGCATCACCACGCCCACGGGACGGGCCGCAGGCGCACTTGAAAAAAGGACGTGTACGTGGGGCGTCCTGACTGGCTGAAGCCGCACTCGGAGAACGCGCACCCCTGTAGGGCCTGTGCTATCGGATTGCACCGAGCAAACCCAAATCTACACCAAGACCTACCGGCATGGCACGAGCCCTCACGAGACAAGCAGTTTCAGTAGCATCAGTAGCAGTAGTACTAATGGAAACAATGAAATTAAACGTAGTAGAAGTAGTAGTAACAGTAGTGGAAGCAATGGAAATATTACTGTGAATGCTCGTCGCAATAGCTGTAGCAGTAGTAGTAGCAGTGGTAGCTGTAGTAGTAGTAGTAGTAGCAGTAGTAGTAGCAGCAGTAGTAGTAATAAGACTACGAGTAAAAGAGAGTACGAGTAGTAGTAGTAATACTAATATTAGTAATCATCGTCGTAGACGCAGTAAGCGTAGTAGTAGTAGTAGTAATAAAAATAGTAATAAAGGTAGAAATAATAGTAGTAGTTGTAGTAACAGTAACTACGTGGTGGTGGTAGTAGCCCGTAGGACTCGTGGTCAGACTAGTGCTAGGAGTGGAAGTAGTAGTAGTAGTAGTAGTAGTAGTAGTAGTAGTAGTAGTAGTAGTAGTAGCAGTAGTAGTAGCAGTAGTGATAGTAGTAGGAGTAGTAGTAGTAGTAGTAGTAGTAGTAGTAGTAGTAGTAGTAGTAGTAGTAGTAGTAGTAGTAGTAGTAGTAGTAGTAGTAGTAGTAGTAGTAGTAGTAGTAGTAGTAGTAGTAGTAGTAGTAGTAGTAGTAGTAGTAGTAGTAGTAGTAGTAGTAGTAGTAGTAGAGTAGTAGTAGTAGTAGTAGTAGTAGTAGTGGTAGTAGTAGTAGTAGTAGTAGTAGTAGTAGTCGCAGAAGTAGTAGTAGTAGTAGTAGTAGCAGTAGTAGTAGTAGTAGTAGTAGTAGTAGTAGTAGTGGTAGTAGTAATAGTAGTAGTAGCAGCCGTAGTAATACTAGTGAAAGTCGTAGGTGGAGTTGTACAAGTAGTAGTGCTAATAGTTTTAGTAGCAGAAGTCGTCGTAGTGGTGGTAGTAGCAGTCGTCGTAGCCGTAGCCGTAGTCGTAATAGAAATAGTGGTGGTGGTAGTGCCAATGGTACGAGTAGTCGTAGTGGTTGCAGCAGCATCAACAGTAGTCAAACGTCGCATGGGTAGTAGTACTGCTAGTGGTAGTGACACTGGTTGTGGTAGCAGAAGCAGCAGCAATAGTAGACGTCGTAGTAGTAGTCGTCGTCGGCGTGGAATGATAGTCTTAGTGCGAAGCGTCGTGGCAATATTGAACAACAACCTCGCAGCAACAATAGTAGCAGAACAAATAACAACGGTACTGGTAGATGTAATGGTGATGGTAGTGGCAGTCGTGTTGGTAGTAGTAATAGTGGTAGTAGTAGTAGTAGTAGTAGTAGTAGTAGTAGCAGTAGTGGTCGCAGTAGCCGTAGTAGCCAGGATAGGTGGGAAGAACAGCAGTGGCTTTTGTAGTAGTAGTAGTAGTAGTAGTAGTAGTAGTAGTGGTAGCAGTAGTAGTAGTAGTAGTAGTAGTAGTAGTAGTAGTAGCAGCAAACTAGTAGTAGTAGTAGTAGTAGTAGTAGTCGTAGTCGTAGTCGTAGTCGTAGTAGCAGTAAGAGTAAGAGTAAGAAACAAAGAGTGATAGCAGTAGTAATAGTAGTAGTAGTAGTAACAGTAGTAGCAGTAGTAGTAGTAGTAGTAGTAGCAGCAGCAGCAGCAGCAGCAGTAGTAGTAGTAGTAGTAGTAGCAGGTAACTAGTAGTCGTAGTAGTAGTAGTAGTAGTAGTAGTAGTAGTAGTAGTAGTAGTAGTCGCCGTCGTACCAGTAGTAGTCTCAGTAGTAGTAGCAGCAGTAGTAATAGTAGTCGTTGTCGTACTCGTACTGGTAGTAGCTGTAGTAGTGGTAGTGGCAGTGGTGGCGGTAGCACCAGTAGCAGTACCAGTTGCAGCAGTAGGAATGGTAATAGGAATGATGGTAGTAGGTGTTGTAGTAGCAGTAGCCGTAGGTGTAGCAGTCGCAGTATTAGTAGTGGCAGTGGTGGTAATAGTGGTAGTGGTAGTGGTACTGGTAGTGCTTGTGGTAGCCGTAGTGGTAGTGGTAGAAGGAGTCGTAGTAGTAGTCGCAGTAGTAGTAGTAGCAGTAATGCTAGTACTAAGCTCGTTGTAGCAGCCGTCGTGGTAGAAGTAGTACAATTACTAATAAGAACTGTACGAGTGGTCATATTAGTAGTAGTAGTAGTAGTAGCAGTAGTAGTAGCAGTAGTAGTAGTAGTCGTAGTAGTAGTAGTAGTCGTAGTAGCCGTAGTAGTAGTAGTAGTAGTAGTAGTAGTAGTAGTAGTAGTAGTAGTAGTAGTAGTAGGTAGTAGTAGTAGTAGTAGTAGTAATAATAATAGTAGTAGTAGTAGTAGTCGTAGTAGCCGTAGTAGTAGTAGTAGTAATAATAGGTCGTCGGAGTAGTAGTAGTAGTGGTAGCAGCAGCAGCAGTAGCAATAGTAGTACCAGTCGTCGTCATAGTAGTCGTCGTCATCGTAGTCGCACTCTTGGGCCATAGTAGTGGCATCGCACTAGAAGAAGCAGCACTAGTGGTAGCTATAGTGATAACGATGATCAGTTTATCAATGCGAATCGTAATGGGAGTAGTCGTAGCAGTAGTAGTAGTTCTAGTAGTACCAGTAGTACTAATTGTTGTTGTAGTGTGGTACAGAATAATATGAGATCGTAAAGACGAGTATCATATGGTGTAGCGTAGCATAGCATAGTATAGTACAGTCTAGTCTAGTCTAAGGTATACTCTAATATAGACTGGTATAGTACAATGTACTATAGTATAACATAATATAGTCGTCATGTCAGTGCATCGCGCGAGCTGTAACAGCACTAATCCGCCGGCCCCCTGTCCCTGCGCCAGTAGTAGTTTCAAGTCTAGAATGTTCCAATCCTGCTTTCTGATTCCTACTCTACATTGTTTAAATCCGCGCGAGGGGGGGAAGCCCCAAAGGACCCGGTTACCACGCCGCGATCGCGCTCTCTGAATTGATGGGGGTGGGTGGGACACGCAAAACTACTTGAGACTCGCGTCCCCGATGCCAGACGTAATACCTTGTAAATTACGCAATGCTCGCGTCCCCGAGGCCACAAACCCAAGTAAATTACACACTTCGTGCGTCCCCGAGGCAACAAACCTCCGTACATGAAATTACGCGTAGTCGGGATGCCGAGGCCAAGAGTGCTCCAAGGCAACCGAAGATGGTTCCAAGACGGCCCAGGAGGGCCCAAAAAGGCCCCAAGAGCGCTCCAAGAGGCCTCCCGAGAAGGCCCCAAGAGGCCAAAATCGTAGATAATACTAAAGCGTTTGGAGGATGTTGGCCTTCTCGCCTTTTCAGCTTTTTGACTTTCAAGACGGCTCAAGAAGCGCCCAAGACCGCCCCAAGGCAGCCCGAGACGCCTCCAAGAGGGCCCCAAGACGGCCCAAGAGGGCTCCATAATGGCCCAAGAAGCGCTCAAGACGGCCCAAGGGCCCCAAGAGGGGTCCGAGCAGGGGACCACCAACCGAACATTCGATAGTTGACCGCGAGAAGCTCGCAGGAGGCCCCGAAGAAGCCGTCAAGAAGCCCTAAGAAGCCCCAAGAGGCGCCCAAGAGGCCTTCAAGAGGTCCAAAAGATGCCCCACGAGGCCCTAAGAGGCCCCTCAAGAGACACCCTAACGGCCTGCAAGAAGCCCCGAGAGGCTCCCAACGACACCCCAACACATGTACAGGAGGCCTCAGACCCAAAACCCAGGCACGGTTGCGGGGTGGGCCGAAGGCCACTAAGAAAACGCCAACGTCTCCATATGCGCTGATGATTCCTATCCGCCCCCACATGGGGTTCCCAGATGCGCCAAGGCAGCGTCGAGACGCACCGACGCAACTCTGATATACTCCGTTATGATAGAGAGGGGACCAGCGGCTGGGGGCGAAGCCCTTTTCGGATATGAGAATCACAAAAAGATGAAGGGAGGACCA